GAGATTTCCTGAAGAGTCCTAAGCCACAGGTCGAGAAACCATGGCCTATGTAATTGATATGTTATGGTGCTAGAGCAGTTTTGTTTAGAACAACTCAGCGGTGACAGGTAATAACATATATCTTTGTTTCATATACATAGAATTTTGCACTGGAAGATTTGTAAAGAAAATATTTTGAACCACAACTATGATTTATTTTTTAAAAAATCATGATGCTTATAGTGGGTTTCTTTCCATACAGGGTTCTTGGGGATCTGGAAATAATCAATACAGCAGAGAGCTACTTAAGTCTTCTATATTTGCCACAACCAGTCGCAAGCGGAAAAAAGCAAAAGACAAACTGCAACTCAGCAGCTCTGAAGATGAGTGGGATAGTGTTTTTTTCATGAAGGAGCCTGCAGAGCTCCATTGTAATGACTCCCCAAAAGAGGACACACCTAAAACTGAGCTGGAGAAGGAAACCGCAGCAGGAATAGAGAGAGCAGGATTTCCGAAAGAAAAGGAAGACTGTGTGAACAGTCCTTCTGCTGCAAGCAAGGATGAAGTGTTGCTAAGGAAAGAGAATTTGTCCTCTGAAGAGCCCTCAACATCTTATATTCAGAAATACAGGAGATCCCCAAATCCCATCTCTTGGAGAAATGCACAAAAAGATAACCATAAATTCCCTAATTTCCAGATTGCTTCTGTGTTGGAAGAAACCATTTTGGACTCGGGCACTACCCTCAGCTGCACTTCACAAGCTTCTCTGCAAAATGTCTCCAGTAAAAGATTAGGCGACCCTGAAAGTAAACGCAGTGAATTTTTTACTGCTGAAGTTGGCTCCATCACTTCAGGCTACTCCACAACATCCTCCACTGCATATTTAGCTGGTGTCGATTCCACCGTACTGGGTACTGAAGTGCTTCACTCAGTGACGGAGAGTACAGGAGAAGAGGCCGATGATGAAAGTAGTGAACTGGTCAGTGAAGGTCGTCCTGTAGAAACAGACAGTGAAAATGATTTTCCTGATTTTGCAGCAAGTTCTGTGGATAGGTTGTTCAGGGAGAAGACTCACGACATGGTAAAGAACCTTAGGAGAAACTCTGAAGAAAGTGAAGTAAGTTGTTCAGGAGGAACTTCAACACCAAAGTTAGACAGTCACAGACTTTTCAATTCATACAAACTTATTGAATGTGATACTCTATCTCGGAAAAAGTTGGCCAGGTACAAAATGGAAAGTGAAAGTTTAAGGGATGCAAAACACAAAGAGGATATAAAGAAAGGAAAGATGGACAACAGCTTAACCACATCAACAAGAAGTGAACCTGTCAAACAGGAACCTACATGGAAAGTCAAGATTCCAGACAGATTAAAACTGCATCTTAAATCATCTGCTGATGATATGCTTGGAACTGGCAATCAGAAGTCATGTCCTGCAGAGAGCTCCAAAAGAAAAAACATCAGGCGAAGGCACACACTAGGAGGACAGAGAGATTTTATTGAATCAAGTGCCCTAAATGCATGGCAAACTCAAGAAAAATACCCAAGCATGGAGAAAGACACTTCAGCCCTAAACTGGCTGAAGGCAAAATCCCCATCTCAGCAAACAACGATTTCAGAGTATGTTGCACAAGAGCGTCTGCGGCGTAACCCAGTGGACCTTAAAATAAATAAAACTGAAAAGGTGAATGTAAGCCAATTAGATGATTCCTCAAAGGCAGAATCCTCATTTTCTGCAGAGTTATCATCAGGAGGGGATAGTACCACTTCTTCTGGTAGTTCTTCCTCTGAAGCCTGGTACATAAAACCCATGGAGTACTCACTACTCTAGACCATTTCAATGGAGAAAGCTACCAAACTATGAGTGAAGTCCATCAGCCTGGCTGTTGATGCTCATCCTCATAAGTTATCTGAGACCCTAGAGATTATGTCTCAATTCTACTAGTCTCTTTGACACAGTTAAATAGTCGCCACCACAGTTTAGCAGTGTTTTTTCTTTTTTCTCAGTTGTTCTGTATGCTTTTCCCCCATCTCACACACAGTGTTAGTGTGCACCATGCATATTGCAGCTACAATATTATTAGTCAGAAGAAAAAATAATTATTTTTATTTTAGTCGTTAACAAGTGCCTCATCATTTTTTTAAAAAAAAGGTTCATTTGATTTGTTAAGGTGCCATAATAGTTGTTATATTTAGATATTTATGTTAACTGTAAAGAACAAATTGCTGCATTTTATTGTAGAGACTGAAAGGGAGAATGTAAACCAATTAGATGATTCCTCATTTCCTGCAGAGTTATAATCAGGAGGTAATAATGCCAGTTCTCCTGAAAATGCTTCTGGACCCTGGTCTATAACACCCACTGAGTACTTGGATTTCTAAATCACTTAAGAGGGGAAAAGCTACCAGTATATGAACAATGATGTTCACCCTCATAAGTTATCTGGGTCCAGGAGGATACAACTTGATCTACCATTGACATAATTAAATGGCCACCACCACAATTCAGTAGCTCCCTCTCTCTCCTCCCTTCCCCACCCCTATCTTGTTCTGTGTTGCCCTCCCCCCACCCCCCACCCCCACACAGTGTTAGTATGCACTATGCATTAATGCAACTACGACCTTGTTAGTTGGAAGGAAAAAAAATCTTTGAGTTTAGTCGTTAACAAGTGCCTCATCAAAAATTAAATTTTTAAAAAAAGTTAATTTGGTTTGTTAAGGTGCCATAGTAGTTGTTACATTTAAACATTTATGTTAAACATAAAACAAATTGCTGCATTTTATTGTTAAGACATTTCATTACATTTTTTCAAAATTTAACATACATGGATACAGAGCTTCCATTTAGGCATTCCACTTGGATTTTTGAGTTTTATATTCTGATTTTAATACAGTTTTTGAGTATTATGTGACTTGAATTTTTACTCTTTCTGTAAAATAGATAACTTAAGTGTAAATACACTATGTGTGTATCTTTTCCTCAGACACCAGCTTTGATATAAATGTTGTAACATAGAAGTGTAGATAGTAGATCCTGGATATGTGCATAGAACTGGTTTCTTTTACCAAGAATATAATTCTGCATGAAGAGTTCATAAATCCAGATCTGTACATGCTTCTGTGTATATCCACTTAAAACACTGGAAATAAATTGGTTTTGATTGTTCTTGTATGGATTGACTTTCATTTAACAGAGACAATAAATATGTCAAATTTGTATCTCCATGATCTTCATGACTATATAAAGCATAACATAAAAAGGGATCACTGAAAGAGGTTATAGCATAGGAATCTGCTATTTGAAAATGGGTGAATTCTTTGACTAGAACTTGCTTGCAAATTTTATTAATGGGACAAATAATTTTGTAGGGATTACTTATCAAATAACAGCCTTTCATTTTTACAAGCAGGCTATAAGCAAACAATGTTCTTGGGCATACTAAAACCTTGTGTAAGCTTGATGGGAGTTTGGTTTGTTTCATTGCTAAAATAAGCTTCATTTTATATTGCAAAAATAAAATAAAAGTAAAATATTTCAGGAATTTTGGATGAAGTTACCATTCTTGGGAATTATTTCGAAGAAGACAGAATAAAATAATAATTGGAGTTGGAAGGGACTTCAGAGGTCTTCTAAATCAATTAACTGCTCAAGCAAGAGGCCATATATCATTTGAGACAATTGGTTGTCCACTCTCTTTTTGAAAGCGTTCAGTGATGGAGCACTCACAACTTTTGAAAGCAAGTTATTCCATTGGTTAATTGCTCTCACTGTTAGGAAATTTCTCCTTAGTTCTAGGTTGCTTCTCTCCTTAGTTAGTTTCCAAGCATTGTTTCTTGTCTTGCCTTTTGGTGCTTCGGAAAATAGTTTGAATAGATGTACCAGGTCTCCCTTAGCCTTGTGGATTTTGAACTAATATATAATTTTGCAAATATGAACCTGTTGCAAGCTGCGAGGTGATATTTTTCTGAATCATAAATTGGATAGTTAACAGGTGTTCATTTAAGATAAAAGTTTGAACTTCAAGATAAAACATATTTCCATTAAGAAAAGTTTTATATTGCAAGTAAATAGTTTACAGATAATAATAAAGATCAAAAGAATTTAAATTTTGCATGGATAGAACATAACTGTGTCAGAGTATATTCATGAACTGGAATAGAGCTTAATAACAAAGTCAGCCAATGAATAGGCATAGCAACTAAGTAAGCCAATGATGACTGTTTTGGAAACTGAAACTAGAATTAGCCTAGGTTGGAAACTGAAACTAAAAGTAGCCTAGGATTGGCTCTATATTAAACTCTGCAGCTATGTTTAGCTCTGAGTCTGTCTATTGAAAATGAAACTGCTTTTCTCCTTTGCTGTGTATAATGCTTGCTACTGAAGTTACTTGCAACATGTTTCTGTCGTGAGTTTACTCCATGTTGGAGAAATCTACAACTGGTTTGTAAAATCTACTTATTATGTTTATAAAGATGTTAAATGAAGGATCAGCCATCTGTGTTTATTTTTCTGGCATTGAATTAACACTGCAAAACTCAGAATAGGTTATGGTCCCAGGAGGCCAGAGAAAAGACTGAATTGTAATTAAAGCTGAGACACTGCCTGTGTTAAAAGTAAGAAACAAGGCAAGAAGCTTTGCAGGATGGCTGAAAAAATTAAAGAGAGCTATCTCATTTTGGTCAGAAGAACTATATTATTTGGGCTGCAAAGATGGAATGTTTTCTGAAAGCTAAAGAATTTTGGAATATTGTTGAAAATCCACCCAAGGAACTATTGAATGCTGCAGATCAGAAGCTGCATGATAGAGCATTTGCTTATATCATAAGTTTAGAAGATGATCAGTTTATCAATGTAGCTGATTTAAAGACTGCAAAGGAAGTCTGGGATAAATTGAGGACTGTTCATGTGAGTGTATCTGCATGCAACATTGTACAATTATCAAGAAAGTTATATAGAGCTTGTTTGCAGCCAGAGATTCAGTGGAACAGCATTTTGTTCATATGCAAACTTTGGAATTAGAACAACGTGGGATGAGGATTCCTGAATCTCAGAAAGTACTCTGGTTTTGAACAGCCTAGATGAAACTTGGGACATTGTGTCTGCAGTGTTTGAATGCAAACTAGAGCAGGAATTGAGTCTGAAAGCTCTGAAAGCATGTCTGATAGCCGAAGAGCAGAAATGCCATTATACGAGGAGGAAAAATTCCTGAGGAGGGGGCCCAAGAGGAACAATGGAAATTTCCACAGCCAGGCTGTCTCCAGAGACCAGAAGAGAGCAGTAGAAGATATCAGATTACAGCTAAGCAAAAAGCCCAACAACAGAAATGATGTTTCATCTGTGGTGACACTACTCATTTAAAGAAGGACTGCTTGCAAGACAGAAGAAGTTTGCAAGGACAGGTTGATGGACAATGGTAATGGATGCAATGGTAATGGAAGAGATCAATGGCTTATTGACAGTGGGGCTAGCCAAATGATTGTTTTACAGGATGGATGCAGCTGCAGGAGACAAACAGTAGCCTTGGCAAATGGCAAGAAGGCTAAAGTCACTGGAAGAGGCAATGTACAAATTCCATATTTGGAAACAAGGTTTAATAATGTTTTATGTGTGCCAGAAATGGAACATAATTTGCTGAATGTCTTTAGTTTAGAGAAGCAAGGATTTGAGATCACATTTGTAAATGGACAGTGTCTTATAAAGAAAAATGGGATTGTCTGTGCGAAGGGCATAAAGTATAATAACCTTTGTATGTTACAAGGACAAAAAGTTCAATGTGCACAAACTTTTGGCAATGTTGCAAACCATGATTCATGTGTTCATCTTTTGCACAGAAAACTTGGTCATGCCAACTTTAAAGTTGTTCAAAAGATGGATCAGTATGCAGAAGGATTGCATGTAAAGGGATATTTGAATTGTGCAGTATGCAAAACATCAAAGTCCAAGGCATTCCCAGGAAGCAAGCGTAGCACAAGGCAGACAATGAGCTCTAGAGCTGGTACATGCAGATTTGGGGGGCCCAATGCAAGCCAGTTTGGGAGGCAATAAGTATGCGCTGGTCATTGTAGATGACTATAGCAAGTTTGGGTTCTGCTATTTACTAAAGAGTAAAACAGAGGTGCTACAGAAATTTAAGCAATGGGTAAGCTTTGTAGGAAGAAGGTATAAACACAGGTATGTCAGCTGCAAATTGATAGAGGTTCAGAATGTGTGGGTGCATATTCCAAAAGCAATTAGAAGAAAGGGGCAACCAAAGGCTAGAAAGCTCAGGTTTGTGGGCTATGAGCCAGGCTCAAAAAGTTATCGCTTTAGCGATGGGAGCAAAAGACTAGTAATTTTAAGGTCTGCAAGCTTTGCAGAGCAAAATTGGAACAGAATTGATGAAAATTTTTGGAATGATTCACCTAGTGATGGTGATCCACTTTGTGATTGCAACTCACTTAGTGATGGCAACTCACTTAGTGACAGTGTCAGCGTTCAGGGAGGAGAAGCTGAACAAGATATGAAGCAAGAGAGGATTGACACACAGGAACAGTCAGTGCCATGCAGGTCAGAGTGATGGAACAAGGGGATTCCACTTGATGGGTATTCTGCTAGTGGAGTTAAAATGTGTAACGTAGGGTATGAGCCAAGGAACTAAAAAGAATTGGCATTACCTAAAATTGAACAAGTAAAGTAGAAAGAAATCATGGACAAGGAAATGAAATCCAGGGGAGAACATGAAGTATTCACATTTATCACTTTGCCACAAGGTAGCAAAGCTGTAGGATGCAAGTGGGTATACAAGAAAAAGGTACTACCCAATAATAGAGTACAATATAAAACAAGGTTTGTGGCACAGGAGTTTTCACAGATGAAAAATGTGCACTATGATGGTGTGTTCACGCCAACTATAAGGAGTGAAACTGGCACTAGTGTTGGCAGCAGCACATGGCCATAAAATTTGACATTTTGACATAACTACAGCATTTCTCAATGCAGAATTAGAGGGAGAAATTTATATGGTTCAAGTACCAGGGTATGAAAGTAAAAAACCTAACACAGTATATAAATTGAATAAGGCCATTTATGGGCTGAAGCAGTCAGCCAGGAATTGGAATATACTGCATGTCTAGATAAGACCTTGAAATGTCTTCGGTTCAAGAGTTGCAAGGCTGATGATTGCATGTACACCGGAAAGTTACAAGGTTGGGATCGACGCAATTGCGTTGGATAGGTATAAAAATGAATTCTCGGGTATTTGGAGGGAACTGTGAATGTGGGTCTTCAAATACAGGTATCTGAAGAATATTAAAGGTAATTGAATTTATGTGTATTCCAGTTATGAAGGGAGGAGTGTCAGAGTATATTCATGATCTGGAATAGAGCTTGGTAACAAGATCAGCCAATGAATAGGCATAGCAACTAAGTCAGCCAATGGGGACTGTTTTGGAAACTGAAACTAGAAGTAGCCTAGGTTGGAAACTGAAACTAAAAGTAGCCTAGGCGTGGCTCTATATTAAACTCTGCAGCTATGTTAAGCTCTGAGTCTGTCTATTGAAAATGAAACTGCTTTTCTCCTCTGCTGTATATAATGCTTGCTACTGAAGTTACTTGCAACATGTTTCTGTCGTGAGTTTGCTCCATGTTGGAGAAATCTACAACTGGTTTGTAAAATTTACTTATTGTGTTTATAAAGATGTTAAATGAAGCATCAGCCATCTGTGTTTATTTTTCTGAGACTGAGTTAACGCTGCAAAACTCAGAATAAACTGATATTTTAAATTCAATGTTCAGCATACAATATTATTTCTAACTATCGAATGAACACCAGAAATGAATCTCATGAATTCTAGAGAAATATCTTTCTCATTCAGATTCCTTCATTTTGAAACCCTTATCAGATATTTGATCCAACTGTATTCCTTGTCCTGGTCTTCAAAACCTTCTAGCCCCTCCTTTTCACTTCTATGCCCTTGAGCGTAACTTCTGCAACATTTTTCTTTTAAAAATAAATAAAGGTCAAATAATGGATAAGGTAACAACTGGAAATGGCATCCTCATGGATCTTTAAAGACAATATTTTTAATGCCTCAGACAAAAAATGCATCCATAGCACTTAGGAGCAACTGCTCAGGCACAGCATAATTTTAATATGTACATACAGTATTATTCCATTATATTATAATATTCCA